CGAATTGAGCACCAGTCAATGGTGACCCGGCAGAACTGAGGCCAACATTAGTACGCGTAACAATAAAAAAGAGAGAAAACAGTTAAAAAGAAAAACATTATCAATAATCAAATTATTAAAACTAATAATCATAATCAAAATTATTAAAACTAATTCATTATTGCATCATCTTAAAAAAAAAAACACGAAAATACACGAAAATATTCAACGTCAAAATATTAAGTAAGAAAAAAAAACTATACTAATACTACAAACCAATTACATTATACAAATTTATTACAGAACCCTCCAGCTGGTCAGATACAAATAGCATGTCTATGATGTAACGATTAAGAGAAAAGAAAAGTTACAATAAACTCGAAAATAACATTAACATCTTGGTTCGGCACTTTCTGCCTGCTAATACATTTTTTTTTTAAACTCTTTGCGTTCTCTACGCAATTTTTTTTTTTTCACATACGCGGCCTTTGCGCCCCTTGTTACCGCGCGTTTCCTCGAAAATTCACTTCATTTTCAGATCATAGACATGCTAACTACTATTCCCTCCGCGAACGCCTTAATAAAATATAAATAAAACAATAGTGTTCAGACAAAATACTTTAATCTAAAAAGTATTTGCTAACTCTAATTGATAGATTCTCAGTGGTAACAAAAAAAAAATCCTTCGCAGATTTTGTTTTTCTTTCATTTAAAAGAAACAAAACTGACGTAAATATATTATTTCGATTATAAAAGCGAAATTTACTGACAAATTTACCGACAAATCAGAATTTATAAACATTAACATAGTCCTATCAGAATCCTAGCTAACGTACATACTAATAACCTAATACAAAGTATATAATAAAAAGAAAGAAGTGTATCAGTCTTACACTATATATTTACTAACATATTAAATGTTATATATTATCCTAACTATCCTATCTCTATCGTGTTTTAATCTAAGTAATTCTGTCTCATTCGCAAATCCTTTCAAAAAAAAATTATGTAATTACAGGGCTCATCCAAATTCACGAACAAGATTAACAACACACATACAAAGCAATAAAAAAAAAAAATTAAAAAAAATAAAACGAATTAATACCATTTGCGGTTATCTGTATTCTTATTAACTACAATCATAGAGTAAAACAATTATTGAAATGGAAAAAAAAAATGTTTCCAATTATGCGAAATTTAAGACGAATATGGAATTTTACAAGTACCGGATGGCGCCCGACGGGCTTCGCCGGCGACCGGTGCCCGACGGACTTCGCCGGCGACCGGCGCCCTGTGGCGCGGTGTTCGAGTGTCACCAAAGAAAAAAAAAAAGGACCCATGGCAATATATTTAGGCTCTTTGTGTAAATATGTCATCGACCAAAATATTAGAGAAATTCGTGAAACAAAATATTTAGCTATTAATGTCTGTTTTCGAAGACAGGAAAAAAAAACGATTTGTGTGTGGGATTAGGTCAAGTGTTTTACGAAACTTGAGTTTTACGAAGAAAATGCTCGCTGGACAATGTTTTTAAGATCTTTCGAACTAGACTATCAAAACAAAATACTTGAAACGACTCGAAAACTGTTTGACGATTTATAAATGGCTTTACAGAAATTGAATTACAGGAAAAAAAAAACGATTTGTGTGTGGCATTAGGTCAAGTGTTTTACGAAACTTGAATTTTACGAAGAAAATGCAATATATTTCGCAGGGCAATGTGTTTCAAATCTTTCGAACTGGACTATCAAAACAAAATACTTGAAACAACGCAAACCTTGCGTGACGATTTATATATGACTTTACAGAAATTGAAATTGATATGGATATTTGACCGAGTTTTTTTTTTATATATATCCAGGGGGATCAAAACGGAACGGCGTAACAATTAAAATTAACTACATTTTTTGTAATATTATATTCAAAGAGAAAAAAATAGAATGAACACACACAACAATTAGATGAAATCTGATTTTAAAATAAAATTAATACTTTTAACATTTTTTTTTTAATATTATAAACTTAAATAGGTTCAATAAATATAAGTTTAATAATTTTTGAAGTGAGTTACGTAACTTTAAATTCAATGATTTTATATACTATATAGAACTAATCTTAACAAGTATTAGGTAAGAATTATAAAAGACATATCGAAACAGACCGTCTCCAAAACAATAGATTTGATCAATTAAATTAAATTATACACTCAATAAAATTCCATACTCAGGACATATTAAAGAAAAAAAAAATCACTTATATTTTCAATGTAATAAAATTCTACTAAAATTAAAACTACCACGTCACCGAGAAAAGTACACGATAAAAATGAAAATGCACAGGTAAACACAAATAGTAATACACGTGGAAAATACCATTATAATTACCACATTATTTAATATTCAAATTTTAGATTTACTAAATTTACCGAAAACTTAGTCCCGCATCAAACAACTTTCTTAAATCTTTACATACAACGGAAACGCAACTAGTGGGAGCGACTCGCCTAGCTTTTAATAAAAATTAATTAATAATTACTTAAAATTAATTAATAATTAAAAATATTAAAAATTTGTGAGTTGTGGTTTATGGGGAATCGAATGCGCTAACTCCATTGTGACGAATTTAGGGGGTTGATACTCCCCTTTCTTAGGGTAAATGCAACGACTGCCTAATATTACATCTAGCGTTGCATCCCCAACGAAAGGGTTACACCAACTCCTAAACCCGACTTATATAACCGCCCTGTAATTACCTGTGGAAAAGCCAACTAGCTACGCGAATGAAACAGAATGTACTTTCAGCTTATTTAATCATTACTAATTATTGTTACAGATCCGAGGGAATGGCTGTGCCTACGCACAGCCATGGTTCTATACTTAAACCCTAGTGTACTGAGTTATTATTATTAAGTACTATACTAGCGGGGTATAGTATTACAGATATAAAAGAGTATACTAAACGGAATACACGGATAACTAATAACGAGGACGGAGGGAATAGCTTTTAAAACAATAATACATCTGACCTTTACTGGAACGGGTTCTCCTCTCCTGGCACAACACACACACCACTATACACAAAGCGGGTCCAAGGGCTGACGCCCTGGACGCGACCGACCATCCACAGAGGATGTTACAATTCTTAATGATCTCTTTCAACCCCCAGACTGGACCTTATATTGGCATCCCTATTGGGCGTGGTGGGGGAGCGTCATTGCCTTGGTGGTTATGCAACCCTTTTGACGACAATACCGATTGTCGTTACAATATCTCAATGAGGACTATCGATTATCAGTTTTGTGCAACGATCTGCCGAGCTGTTTTTTTATAATTTAGAAAAGGGTGTTAAACTTTTCGTCCACATTTAAGCTCATACTACCGAATCGATTTAAAAAATCAAAAACTGTTAGAGAGATATTAGTTGGAATGATACTGATTAGTTTTAGGTGAAAATCTACCCAGCTATTTTCTTGTAATTAACTGTTGAAATAAAAATTTAAACCGATTTTTGTGGAACTGTTTTTGGCGAAATATATCATGGTCTTACAGAACTTACTAAAATATTACGGCCTTGCGATAAGTAGTTTAATTTTAAAAATTCACCAAAGTTTGAGAAAATGAGTAGTTTTTTTGACGTTTGTTAAAATTAAAATTAGATGATTTACTTGGTATAACGATAAAGTACATGATCTTAATGAACATACTAAACATTTAAATCTTACGGTAACTGGTTCCATTATAAAAAATATTGATTTTTGAAAATTTACTTTTAGAAAATACTCCGAGTTTACGTGTTTGTTTGTTTTTAATTATATGTAACAAATCCACTCGGAATATTTTTAATCACTCATAATTTTTTTTTTATTGATTAAGTCGATTATTTACGCATATCAGGAAGTTCATGTAACTTGCCTCAAGGCAAAATACCTATAATAACTAGTATAAATTTTAGTTTAGAATTTTGAATGTTTTAATAATTTTCTAGAATTAATTAAATAAAATTTTATTAGAAAGTAAAGTAGAAGAAAAGAATTTATATAACGCTTGATCAAAGTGAAAGAAAGTAGAAAGAAAAGAATTTATATAGTAGAAAGTTGAAGTAGAAAGAAAATAATTTATATAACGCTTGATCAAAAACTAAATCTATTAATTTACACTACTAAATCCAGGTTACTTATACTTCTTTCTTAAACTGCTAATAGATTATATAACCAGTTAATTTCATCGGATTAAAAATTTAAATTCATTAGTCGCTTCATCTGAGTTTTCCTTTGCCGTAAAACATCTCAGCAATAAACTGAATTACGTCTTTTTTCAATCGATTTCAAGAAAACTTCGAAACTGATAGAGCAGACTACTTACAATGCAATTTAAAATAGCACTCACAGCTAAATTAAAAAGTGCTAAAGTACACCCCATACTTACTTTATGTCGTAAAGAAAATCAATCAAGCAATTATTTATACAAAACTCTTGAAAAGTTTTCTCATAAATATTTGAGCAATTCGACATAAGAGAGAAGTTTAACTAACTATAACTATAAGTCAATATTAAAAAGAGCTTGGCAAGTCTTTCGCAGTTTTTGTTCTCGAAATAAAAACTGAAGTATTAAGCGGTAGATTTTAAATAAAGGATTGTTTGTGTTTTATTAGTTTGCTCTTATTCTTATTCAAAAGTTTTATTCAGGACTCATAAAAAAAAAACAAATTAATTATAAAACTGTCATATGTTATGACGATGAAATTGGCTTGTAGGGTTTAGTTTAATATAGTAATCATTTTTCAAGTAAATTTTGTATCAAAAATTATTTTAATAATTTTATTTATTTTAATTTATTAAGAATTTAGAAGAAATCAGATTCATTTATCATTAGTGTTCAAATCATTCACCGCCATTTACAATTTTTAATATTTTTTTTTATATGAAGTAATTTCGACTTCAATATTGGAATATATTATTTTTAAACCATATATTTTAAGATATAAATTTTAATTTATGCTAAAAAATAATTGTATTATTTCAGATTTGGCAGTGATCTTCGAAATACTACGCCTTGGTCAAAAAGTGTGTGGAGTCATACGGATTTAATGAGATTAAGACAAGGCAGGGTTGGGGCGCAGGTGAGTTATTTAATTAATCTTCTTATACTTTTAATTAATTTTAATTCCAATTGGATTAAAATTAATATATATATATATATATATATATATATATATATATATAAGTTAATCTGTGAGTCCGTGATTATTCAAAAACCATTTGTCATGACGATACAACATTTAGAAAAAGAGCCTTTTTTCATAGTGATTTTTTTCCAGCATATTGCTTTATAGTATATATAGAATTTCTCCTATATATGACACAAGTGTAGCTGTGATACCTGCACCACCAATAATAGAAATACCTTTTTTTATATACATTCCCACAAATAGTCCTAAACTACCCTAAAATAGTCCTAACTATTCCAAGTATGACAAAATTATATGTACTGGGTTTTAAATATTGTTTCAATTTATTACAGTGTTCGATTTTCTATCATCGGACATTGAAGAAAAATCATATCAACTCTTCTCTTCGTTCAAACATGCCAAATAATAGATGAGGCACATATTTCAAAATCCAAAATTTCAAAATTATAATACTATACTTATAATATATAATTTTTAAACTTGAAATGTTCTAAAGTGATAACTAAAATAATGTTGGAGAGAAATTTAAAGAATTGATATACATGATCATTTATTTCTTTAGTTAACCGTTTTTTGGTTATCTCTTAATCGATTAAATGATTTGCTCTTCTCAATTCTTATATTTTTTAAACAGACAATAATAACTTTAGATATGTAGTAAATTATCTATATTTTTCATTGATTTGTAATCATTCCTTTATTTTATAAAGGTTAGCAATAATTTTTATTCTTATAACAATTCATGCCAATTGAAATTTAGACTAAATATTTCCTTCTGACCATAAAATATACAAAATGTAAAATCGCTTGCGTTCAAAATAAAAAAAACGCACAATATTTAAAATGATAAGTAGGTTTAAAATTGTGTTGATTATATTTATAGATCCAGATATAAAAAATATTCCAATACTACGTATAAATGTTCTAAAGATTTTTATTTACATATTTAATGACCGTGGTTTTAAATCAAGTTTTTTGAATATGCGTATCTAGATATATATATGATAGAATTTATGCTTATACTTATTTCGTATTGGCTTTTATTTTCCTTATAAAGCGAACTTCGTAAATTTTATTTAGGAAATAAAAAGAGATATATATATATATATATATATATATATATACATGGGAATGTATAAATCAATTTGCAAATAGTCTGTTTCACTTACATTACAGAGGATGTCATGGACACCTACTTCTTTTATTGCAGCCATTAACATTTTATATTCCGTGTTTCTCGTGTCGAGTACTTAAACCGAAATAGGATTTTGCATCCTTGAACAACATCTTGAAATTTCCAGTAAAATAAATGCAATTTCACGAAATTAATTATGCCTAGCTTTTATTTTACGTTGATAAAATTGCATTCTTTTTCAAAGATATCCAAATAGCAAGACGTTTCTCCAAACTTTTGATTACATTACCAAGCAATCAAATTTTATTTAAATAATTCACTATAAAGGCCATCTAACACACACAAAAATAAATTCGTCATCAATTAACAAAATCAACACAATTCTTGCCATATATATCTAAAACGTTTTTTTATATATTTACAATTATTTCATGTTTTTAACAAGGTTGATACAGAGATTCGTTTTGTGAGTCTATCGAGTAATATTTGGTATTTTTGTTTAAGGTTGTAAAAAAATTACAATATTTAACGTTATGAAAAAAATACATTTTTAGTTGTTAATTTCTATAAAATCTTGGCCACAAATTAAATCTTTCAATATGAAGGAAAACATTAAATTTCAAATTTCGATGGATTCCGAACCTTTCCTATTTCATATAATTAATTTACCTGTTCATTATATTTGTCACGATTATTAGGGTAATCTGTGTTTCTATTTAATTATATATAATTAATCATTAAAATCTAAATATAAGTATATAAATTATTATGGCACAACTATGTTTGATGTAATGATTATATATATTGAAAATTATCACAATTAATTATCATAAATAATTCATTACAATATTATTTGAATCTATGTCCATCGTCATAATATGCTATAATCTGAATTATTGAATCGTTGATATTGAAGAAATATTTATAATAAATATTTGTTCAAATTTAAAATCATTATTCAATAATAAGAATTTCTTTATGATTTTAGGAAATTAGGATTTTTAAGTTCATGGTGTGATTGGAATTTAAAACTAGCAAAATTATTTTTTTTTAGTAAAGTACTATATTTTTTAGCCATTCTAATAAGATTTGAGTACCAAAATGATATATTCATCAATTTGACCATAGAGAAATTATTTGAGACCACAATTAATTATTGTTGAATTTTTTTATTACTAATAGTCAAAAAATTTTTTTTTTCGCTGTTTTATATCAAAGACAAAACTCAATTCTTTTTATAATAAAATATACAAGTCATAAATATTGTCTTTGTCTAGTGATATAAATTATCAATCAAAATGAAATGAAATTTTAAAACTGAGGGAGAACATTCAAAAACATTATATCAACACCACAGATTTATAGTAAAAATAATACGCTTTGTTAACACTCTTCTGAAAACACTCTGTTTTCTTAAAAAAAGAAAACAATTATTTCTCATAAAAGAATTATCTAACATATCATTTGCTGATTATTCACCTTGAGGCTTTCTTTCCTTGATATTCATGGCAAATAGCCTAATATCAAGCAGTAGTTATATCGGTTTTCACAATTCAAAGTAGCCTTTCTCGTTATTGCTCCATCATCAATATTAAAAAAAAAAATGAGATATTTGAATTCGAATTGATCAATAATTCTCGACTTAGTAGTCAGGTCTTTGGTTAGGATAGCCTGATATCAGGCAGTAATGATATCGATTTTTATAATTTAGTATCCTTACTCGGCATTGCTGCATCATACGTACTAAAAATATAATAATGAGATATTTAAACTAGAAATGATCAATAATTCTCGGCTTAGTGTTCAGGTTTTTGGTTAGTATAGTAATGATATCAGGCAGTAATGATATCGATTTTCATAATTTAGTAGCCTTACTCATCATTGCTGCATCATCAGTACTAAAAAAATAATAATGAGATATTTAAACTTGAATTGATCAATAATTCTCGGTTTAGTAGTCAAGTCTTTGGTTAGGATAGCCTGATATCAGGCACTAGAAATCGGTTTTCATAATTTAAAGTAGTTATACTCGGCATTGCATCATGAGCACTGAAAAATAGTAATGAGATATATGAATTTTAATTGATCAATGATTAATAATCATGATTTTAATTTTAAAAAATCTCAAAAATTCGATAAAATGTTTTTCCCTGAGTAAAAGTTTAATTTCCTGAACGAATCAAAAATAATATCACTTATTTGATGTATATAAGTGAGATCACATCATTTTATATTCCTATGTTTGGAACTTTTTCTCCTGTATCTTTAAAATTGATCTACCTTCGCAAAGTTGTAATTTTATTTAACTATCTACTACGTCGTAATTACGTTACATACGTCATAAAATGTCTTATTTAATTATTCACTACGTCAATACAAATAAAATATTTTTTGAATCACTGAAATCGGCTTTCTGTCCTCCCAAAAACTAAATTGCCATTTTTTGCACTTTTGGCTCTGTATCTTCAAAACGGCTGAACCTGCCTTTGCCAAAAACTAATTAGCAATAAGAATCGAATGTTTTCTCAATCATTCAAATTGGTAGACCCATCGTGGACGAAAAATTATATCCAACATACACAAAAATACACACATACATACATCCGTAATTTATTTATGCAGTATTATTATATTATTTTATTATTTATTATCATTATTATTATTATTAATTACTATTTTTATGTTATTATCTTTATTTATTCTTATTTAGTTTTTTAGTTTATTCTTTTTCAGTTTATATACTTTAGCATAGCAACTCATAGAATGTAATCACTGTTCTGATTGCTGTATAAAAATAAATGAATAAAAAAACACTACAACCATTTTTCCTGAAGTATGCCAAAAGGTTTATCGTGAAGTAATGCAGAAATGTTTATCTTCGATTTTTGCTCTTCGATAACTCTTTTGCCCTATAGGGAGTTAAAAAAATATTTATCATTTATAATAATATTTTGAACTTACCTAAGTACATGAGTATATAAACAGTAGCTTGTTAAAAAAAATTTTAAAAGGAAAACTTTGAATTTGCACAAAAATATTTATCAAACTTTCTACATAATAATCATCCGCGATCATAAAATTAGACCAAAAGAACACCACTGGGAGACTACTTATAATCATCCTGGCTCTTCATAAGATTTTCTCATAATATAAACATGATCTTTCTAGCTCATTACATTTTATTTCGTACTTTTGTAGGCGGTTTCGTTCATCATTCCGTGTACCACGGGCTTACGAATCCATTTCGTAGCCGCCATTAAAACCATTAGGCATTAGGATTTCATTACGTTTTTTTATTCTTATATATAGATATATACTCTCTCTGGCAACAGCTTTAGAAGAAATTAGGGACACGGGAGAGACATAGCCGTTTCCGACGTTTTGTTTTCGGTTTAATATGGGAATTACAGAAATGACCTTTGTAAATTAAGGGAAAAGAGCCAGATAACGTTCTACGGTATATGTAAACTAAATGTGTAATGTTTTATGTAATTTGTAATGCTGGAAAAGCTTAACATGGTAATATTAACATGAACCTTTTGAACATGAAACTGTTTTTGTATTTAATAATATATATAATATAATAATAACAAAGGTTTGCTTAAAGATTTTTTAGAAAATCCGAGTAGCTAATTTTGTTTTCTCAATATTTCCAGTCACTATGAATAATGATTTAAAATTTTGATAGGAAGTCTCGTTGATTAATTTGAAAAGTGGAAAATTTTCGTGCATGTTTTAGCTGATAATTCTAAGCCGATTTTAAAAATCGTTTGCATTCCAAAAATCTTCGACTAAT